TACAGAATCTTTCAAGAATTTGGCGAATTAAAGCGGAATTTTGTGAAATGCAATAGAATTGTGCAAGAATATTGTCACAACTGTTACAGATTCAAGATGAGTACAGACTGCTGGCTGTGTGCGGTATTTTGTAGTATGCAGGTTTGAAGCTTTGCTCTCGCGAAGCTTAAGTGACTGTGAAATTTTGAATGTCAGCGACGGATCACTTTCTGCGTCTATCGCCGGAGAGTTTCTGTGCATATATGGCCTTTAGGATGCTAATAGTCAAAATTCTTTCATAAATTGTGGATATCACGGTGTTGTACCTTAGAACTAATGATCAGCCGTATACGGGCCACAGATTTCAAGGACATAGCTTGATAATGACTTTTATTTTTCAGCTCACACGGGTATTCACGAAGCTCTGTAACCTACCATCAACTCTAAGTACTTTGTGATTCGATTTCTGAAGCCCACTCTCACTCATCTTCCCGATCGGGCACGCATGGGAGAGTTCGACTCCGGACTGGAGGATTTTTTGGTGGACTCGGACTGAAGATTTTTTTGAAGGGCTCGGACTTGAGTTCTGTATTTCGAGTCCCATCTATTCAACTTTCAACACAAATGAGCAGAGAAAAATGAAAAGCGAAATAATAACGCCTTCTGTTTCACCAGAAATTGAAAACTTTGTTCAGGAGACAGACGTGCAAAGTAACATTATCTTCGACAAATCAAATATCTATCCAGGGCTGAGCGAATTATAAAAGAGAAATAAACCATACCGGTAAAACATTTTCGGACTCGAAATGGACTCGGGACTCGGACTCAGACTCAGCTTGAATTTTTAAGGACTAAGACTTGGCTCGGACTCGTCCATGCCTGCGATCGGGCTCCCTCTCCTCCGCCCTATCCACGACCAAAATTCTGCGAAACTTTCGAGATTTGTGATATTCTCGCATAATTCTGTTGTATTTTACAAAAATCTGCTTGAATTCGCAAAATTCTGAAAAGTGCGATGGTGAATTAGACTAATTGATGATTCATGAAGTTTGACTGCGTTGAGGATAAAATTTCACCATTGCACAGTTATGAACTTTACTGTCAAATCAGCCTACTGTACCGCACACAGCCAGCAGTCTGTACTCATCTTGAATCTGTAACAGTTGTGACAATATTCTTGCACAATTCTATTGCATTTCACAAAATTCCGCTTTAATTCGCCAAATTCTTGAAAGATTCTGTAAAATTCTGATGGGTTTAGCAAATTTTGTAGGTTTCGGAAAAATTCCGAGAAATCTGTGCAGTTCTGAGAATGTTCTTCCATAATTCTCGTGTATTACAGCAAATTCTACCTTAATTCGCAAAATTCTGAAACCAAGATTCTGATCGGACTTTCCAAAAACAAAAATTCTGCAGGCTTTGGAGAATTGTCAGAAATCTGTGAAAGTTCTGAGAATATTCTTGGATAATTCTGTTGTATTTCTCAAAGTTCTGCTTTGTGTTTCACAATATTCTGGTATATTTCGTAAAATTCTGATGAGATTTAGCAAAATTATGCAGGTTTTGGTAAATTCTAAGAAATCTGTGACAGTTCCGACAATACAATTGCATGATTCTGTTGTATTGCACGAAATTCTGCTTGAATTCGCCGGATTCACACAAACATTTTGCAAAATTCTGAAAGGATTTAGCAAACTTCTAAGAAGTTTATATTGATACCATGAGCGACATCCTCCTTCTTGCCATACTGTATGTTTCAATTTCTTTTGTATTTCTTTATTATAGTGATTGCATACGTTGGCTTTGACAACCAGTACTTCATACTGACTTTTTTCCATATATTTAAGACAATCAATTATATAGTCAAATTGACTTTCGATCATAATCACTACCGAATTATGTCCTAAAGCTGTATTTGGTCCTAATAAAATAAATAAATTAGGAAAATTTGGTGCAGTTACACCACGATAAGCTTGTATACTTAGAGACCATTGATCCTGTAGTTTAATTCCCTTTTAACCATAAAATTCAATTAAACAATTGTGTACATTATAACCAGTACTCCATACTCTTTATCATTACAGGTGATAACACAATGTTCATTTATTGTTTTGATATGGTCTGTAATTAAATGAACAGTTGATTTTTGGATGGTTGGATACCAATCGTTGGTAACAAGCATACGTTTACAACCTACACAAAACAATCTTTTTTTAAAAATGAATTCTAACCTAAAATGTTAACTGCGAGCATTGTTCTTATATATAATTCATAATTCTTTTAATACTATAAAGACATACAAATCTCATTTCTCAGCATATTTTTCAAAGTTCAATTATAGGTTGTCCAAAAATCTCTAGGTTTTCAGGTATTTTCCATTTTCCTCAGTTCAGGAGCACTTATACTAAAAAATAATATGATATTCAGAATCAGTATGAAAAATCACATCAATTAATGTGAATACAAAGTGTTTGTGAACGGAAAATGTTTCCATCCAGTGTAATGCGACGGTTATAGTTTTAACAGCAATTTTGACTTGGCACATGGACATACAGTGGGCCTCCAGGCCATCTTTCAGTAAAAAATCGAAAGTTCGGTTTTTGTAATTCAATAGTTCAACTGACAACCGATAGTTTTTGTCCGAAGTTTGTTTGTACAGGTTTTCCAGAAATCCGGTCTTTCGAAAACTAGTACGAACATACTTTGATTTCAAAGTTTAAAGCCATGCCATTGAAAAGAGCGCATATGAAAACCTATACAACAAAAGTGTTTAGAGGCTTTCGTGCTACTGTTCTAGCACATGTCCTTGTTCCCACTCAAAATTATCTACTGTGTTTGATAGTCAAATACAGTCAAACCGTTACCGAGTTATCATATCAGAAAAATTTGCATACACTGATAACAGAGTAGTAATCATGATTACACTGTAGAAAGAAAGCCCTAGCGCTCAAAAGCCAACTTTCTGGAGTCCCATTATGAAGTACGATGGCCGAAAAAACTGATAATGCCATTAGATTCAGCATCCTCGAAAACCTCTAATAACCAGTTTCCACGAATCTACTGCCTCTGGAAGTAACGCTGTAAGCAAATCTTTCATCTAAAAAATTTTCTCATTTAGATCATTCGTTCGTAAACACAAATTATTGTTGTTATCTTATCTCATGCTTTCCGCCTTATTTTGATTACTAATAGAACAGTGCTATGCGTTTTGATTTCGTAACGCTTTTCTCTAGTTATCTTTTGTTCTGCAGCGACTATTAAATTTTACTTTTTGTTTAGCCTTTGATATGTTATACGTTCTGTCTTTATCCAACAAAATGTAAATGAAACTAAATCCGATAAGGACCGCCGGTCTTGTATCGGACCCAAATTTAAATCTTTCCACTAGTAAACTCCCATTTATTTGACTTCATTCAATACAAGTGTCTTAGGATTTTACATAACTTAATATGGTTAATATTTTTTCCTTTTTCTATTTACTGTAGTTGTACGAGCTCGTCTTATTGCAAAAATATATTTGAAAGAAAAAAATAAGGATTTCAAGGAAAGAGATGAAAATTTGAACTAAAAATATTAAAGATAAAACGAAAAGAAGTCAAAGTAAAATGACTTTTGATAAATGTTATCAGAAATTTTTATCTTATTTACTACAGTTCATTAGCAATTCTAGAGAAAAGAGAGGTTCGTGTAATGTTAGAATTCAATTCAGAAGAATACCATTCAATATCTTATTGTTTTTTAATTATATTAATTGTTATTCCACGAAAACAATCATCAGCACACCTTTTGTCCGTATATCCACATATTGATATAAGACCATTTTTATCTGTTTTAAAATCGTATATTTTTTCTTCATTATCAACAAGCAAATCATCTTTACATCTTTTATAAATTGTATCTAGTGTTATTGGTTCTGCTGCGCCACTATTTTGATGTGAATTTAAATTGGATTTGTTTTCATTCCATGTTATAAATTTATTTTGTCTTGGATGATCAAAAATATATTTTCGTTCAATGACAACACCATTTTTAACAATTATCGTGGTATTAGTACGAAAACCAACCCACGATGCAAACCCTGTTGTGTATGAATAGGAATTTTTTGATACACGTTTAAACTTTTTCAAGGCAGCTAAACTTCGATTATATTCTTTACTGAATTTTATTGCACCACCGAATGTTTCATCTTAATTAAAGACCGAAACAAAAGTTTTATGACTTTAACAGAAAACGATTGGGGAATCTTCATTCGGGATCAGACCTTATAGCATTACTGAAGGTTAAAACTTAAAGTCTTATTACTATTTTCTGACAGTCAAATTCTACTTTAAATAATTCAAACTATGTCTGATTTCAATAAACAGCTTTCAAAACCTTTTGATAGCTGTCGAGGGAAACACCCGAGGTGGTAGATCGATTTCAGATTGTGACAATTTTTGTTAGAAAGACCCTAACGAGTAGTGCAATATCCTGTCTTGTTTTATACCCATGATGCTT